TGTTGGAGAAGACTCTTGAGAGTCCCTTGGACTGCAAGGAGATCCAACCAGTCCATCCAAAAGGAAATCAGTCCTGAGGGTTCATTGGAAGGACTGATGTTGAAGCTGAAACTCCAATACTTTGGCCACCTCCTATGAAGAGTTGACTCATTGGAAAAGACCCTGATGCTGGGAGGGATTGGGGGCAGGAGGAGAAGGGGACGACAGAGGATGAGATGGCTGGATGGCATCACCGACTCTATGGACATGAGTTTGAGTAAACTCCGGGAGTTGGTGATGGACAGGGAGGCCTGGCGTGCTGCGATTCATGGGTTCGCAGAGTCGGATACGACTGAGTGACTGAACTGAACTGAAAGGCAAGTGACACAAGGACTGAAACATATCCATTCCTGGAATCTGCATGACCTGAATGACCATAGAGATTATGGGCCAAGAGGCCAGATTAGAAAGAGTTGAGTCAAGAGGAGCAGGAGGCGAGGAAACACAGGGTGAACAGTGTGTTTTAAAGAGGAGGCGAGGAAAAAAAAAAAAGAGGAGGCGAGACAGAGGCAACAGGTGAAGAGAAAGGAGACATGAAGCCCATGGGAGTTTAAGTTGGAGGAAGAAGAGCTCTTTTAAGAGATCTTAAGTGCTTTAATTTTAAAAACTGTGTAAAATTCTTTAAATCAATGTCACTGTAAATCTGTATAGTGATAGGGACTGATAAATTCACTCTGGTCTGCCTTTCTAAAGCATGCTTCTTCTCCTCGGTATTTTGGCTTGACTCAGCTTATTCTCTTAGTGTAAAAAGACACGTTTCGATGCCTGATGATTCGTTTCTGGAAAACCACAGGGTGACTCATGCTTTGCTGCCAGTATACTTTCACTCTATTAAGATAAGATTGTTGTTGACCCAATTTGGAAAGGCAGAAGGATTGACAGTGATGCTGGTTGAAAAATAGAAATTAACCCCTGAAGGGAATTAGGCTACTTATCTTAGCTTATTTCCCATAGAGGTTCACAGGTTATTAGCAAGTTTACTATGAACTCTGTGTATATGTGTGTATTGAAATCTTTTAGTCAAATATTAAAATTGCGTATCCACATGGTGTTGAAGTTTTGTACACAGCAACATTTCTTCTCATAAACTTTGCAAAAGTAGCTATTTCAAGGTTTCAGTTTAGTAAGCTGTTACTTTTTTTTAAAGTTATGTTTCAAAACAAATCTTATTTCTCCTATTGGCATTCATTACATGATCCATGAATTATTCCATCATCCATCTATATGCAAGTACTTCTTAAACACTACCACGTGCCAGATACTGGGTAGGGCATACAAAGAATAATAATGTATGGTTCTCCCTCCTCTAGTTTACTGTCTAGTGGAGGAGATTGATGGCAACACACTGTGTACACTATAGAAGGTGTGGGCAGAGAACAAAAGGACAGAGAGAAGGGAGTTTATTCTGTCGGGGTGATTTGTCCATGTATGCCAATGTGTAGGCACATATGTGCGTATGTGTGTGCCTATGTGAGAAAGAGAGAGAGAATGTGAGTGTGGGAAAAGCTTAACAGAGAGTCATAGAACAGGCACATGGAGTGGAAAGACAAAAAGATTTCAGGACAAGGATAGTAACTTATTTGAGGTGCTGAGCATGTATTTGTTTTGTCATTATGTAATTCAAAGTATCTTTGAAAAATAGGCTGGGGTTCAATTTTACCTACTGGGTCATTAACAGTATATATGTGTGAAGATGTGAAGTTATCCTGTCCAACCACTGCACTGGTTTTGGCTCTCCAACCACGTTTAACATGGAAGACAACATGCCCACATGTTGTAGGAGGGAAGGCATCATAAGACAAACCCAGCCACTGTATAAATCCAAAGTGGGTTTTCTTATGTCACCCATAAAGTTCTGTGAGAGATGGCACTAAAACTAAATGGAAAACTTTCATGTTAATGGACCCGCAAGGCTATTTACATCCTATTAGTTGAGTCATCAGAGATAACCCCATTTAGCTCATTTTCATGTTGGCATCTGGAGTGGAAAGCCATCCAGCCTAGGCTGGAGGTGTCTGGCAAAGGAGAGTCACCCTGCTGGTACCAGCTTATAATGTCTAGAGAAAATCTATTGACAGAGGCCTTTCTCATCCTAACAGCATTTTGAAATCATCTCTACTTGCCCATGTGATATAATGGACAGCATGTTCTTGTAGCACCAACATTTGAAATCAAGTTCTAAAGAAGAATCATGATCGATGGTTGAGGGTTGTCTGAAAAAACATTTCTTTCATTCTCTTTTATAGCCGAAGGAGACCTCCTACGGACAATTGCATTCAGTGTTGAAATATCCAGTGACTAAGAGACAGATCATCCAGGCAAGGCTCAGCTCTACAAGTGCCAAAGATGCAAGTGCCAAAACCAGGATGTCCCTGAGTTGCTTTCTGTAGGGTGTAAGAACAAAGGCATCCCATGTGTCTCAAGAAACAAGAGTGGAAGTCATGATTTAGTTCCTCCTCTTCCTTTAAAAAAATGTGACTGAATCGGCAGCCAGATGTGTTCTAGGGCAGTCCAGCTGACTAACTCTTACTGTTAACAGGCGCTAGCAGTTCCAGGACACAAGGACTATGATAGAGGGATTTGTTTGGCTTTCCAGAAAGAGATTCTGTTCTGTTCGATCTGTTTGCTCACTCTATTCTCTCATTCACGTGGGGTTGATGGGATTGACAATACACACCAACAGGCAAGTCTCTGAGGATTTTTGAGTTATTGCAGGAACTTTCTAACCTTCTACTCTGTGTTTTTATAAAATGACGATCAGAAACTGAATCAGCAACTGGAGGAATTGGAAATAGCTTCTATGTGACCCTGTCCTATGTGTAATCAGGACATGATTCCCGCACATCTCCATACCAAAATCCCTGCTCGTGTTTGAGAGGATTAAGTCATCAGAGAGGTGGCTCACTCCTTGGTCTTTCCAATATATTATAATATTATGAAATAATTGTTCTTGCAATTTTCAATATTCCATGCCTTTAACTTGGATTTGCCCTAGAGATGGAAATTTCAGGCTCAAGAATTGACCTGGATTAAAATGCTAGTTGTACTACTTAGTAGCTGTGTCACCTTAGAAAAAGTACTTGACCTCTCTCTGTTTCAGTGTCTTAATCTGAAAAATGGACTCAATAATGGTGAGAAAAATGCATGTAAGGTGGAGCACATAGTTAGCATGAGAAATGCTAGCAATTATAATTTTAGGACCTTTATACTATTCTAGCATTTAGTTTCCTCTGACTTCACACTCAACTGGATAAAATATATATTTTGTTGAATACCAAAACAGTAAACTTGTGTGAATTTCTGTGTGTTGATGGTGGAGCTGATGGGAAGAGGACTGGGAGTTGATGGGGTGATATAACCTCTACTCAAGGAGGGGAATGTCCTTAAAGTGACCATGAAAGCCGGTTGATTTGTTGTCAATTTCTGGAGTCCCATAGTTTAGTCTATACATTATTAAGAAGGATTTATATTTCAGGATGTCCTTCCTAGAAGTCTAACTGAAATTTTCTACTTGTCTCATGTTTTGTTCCCCATTTATGGAGACTTCGGCACTTAAAAAAAAAATACGGGAACAATGAATATTTGAGAACAAGGTACCTTTTGCCAATACCTTAAAAAAAAAAAACCCAAATGCAATTTCTTCAGCCTTTTGTCTTAGACTCCAATTCTCTCTCTTTAGATCCCTTCCTCCTTGAGGCTGACATGGCATCTGGGCCCTGCAGGAGTGCTAACCAAACCAGAACAGGACCAGGACTTAGGCACGGTACACTGGGAGCTCAGACAGTCAGGGAAGTAGATTCTGATGAACACACAATGACTTCTCTCAATGAGGAGAAAAGCACCAGTCTCCATTTACCAGACTCGAAATGCACTGGGTATGATATAGTGATATATTTGGTATTATTAACACATAGTCACAATAGACCTGAACATTTTAATATTCAAGTTGTATTTGACTTTTCCATTTCTAAATATTATTCATTCATTGGCTCACTCAACAGGTATTTGTTGCATGCTAAAAACAAGGAAGTATGTTAGATTTTTCTATATATGTCTGGCCCTAACTGGGTTATGAACCCTTTTAGAGCAGAGATATTGTACCTTTTTCATGTTTTATCTCAAGGTTTAGCCTGTCGAAGACATTCAACCAACACAGCAAACACGCACTTCATAAATGAAAAATGGGACGCAAGTTCTATGCTGCCTGTGCATAACCAAATAACAAAATATTTAATCCCATGTCTTGATCATCTTTAAACTTATAATTTAAGCAGAACATGAATGCAAATATCATTCCTATGATTAATATATGCAGCAGTATTATTTCAGACCTTTCACTGGGATTAAATATATAACTTATATGCTATATAAAAATAAGAAAACTAGATCAACCTATAAAAACTTTTCAGGGAGTTTTTGGTGAAAATAGTAATTAAAAATAGGATTTCTCTCAGACCCAAATCCCCTTTCATAAAGCAAAAGGAAATGAGCAAAGAAATCTAAAAGTTTTTGGCACCAAACATTTTGATTCAATATGTTCTGCTGTAAAATGTTTGGCCTTGTTTGAATTTTTATTGCTATATGTTCTCAGTCTATATTTAACTGTGAGAAACACAAATAAGAACGAGTGAATGTGCAAAATGTTCTTTTTAAGTCATGGCAGTGAATTTGAGAAAACATATATTAAAGGAACACTTTGTGGTTTTAACTTGCGGCTCCTTTCCTGAGCCTCCCTTGGCCAGATACGATTTAATGTTTATTGAACTAAGGACTCAACTTACTTGGAGTGAAATTCTTTAGGGCCTCTCAGAACCACCTCAGATAAGTCCCTTACTTCACCATGATCTCAAATAAGGTTTCTTTTATGCAGTCTTTTTCACAGGTGAAATAAGGTCTAGTTAGAAAGTTTCATAATGGGGACATTCAATTCATCAATTCTTTCTTTGCTCAAATTAACTTTTTAAAAAATCAGTGTGTTCACTCTGGCATCAACTCAATCTCAGTCTGTAATCAGCCAACAATCTGTGCCTCATGAAGGCTGCCATCTTAACTGCCAGTTTCTTCCACCCATACTGTCTCCGTGGGGTAGTGCATTCTACTTGGTGCCTCTGCGTGAGCCCCTCAAATTTCCATCTGGCCAAAATAAACACTTCTTTTTCAATTCAGTCTCAGCTTCTTGGCTGAGCAAGAGGACAGACTTGCCACAATGGATGATCTGTAAGATGCACCAAATCCCAATTCAAGGAACGGGTACAGACGGTATGACCAACAGCTCTCTAGAGGATGGCTCATCTACAAAGTGGTTAGTGTCCAGCAGTGTTTCAACACCATTCTCTTGGTCTACACTTCAGTTCCTGAACCATGTCGATGTTGAGAACTCTATCACATTGATGGTAAAATATTCCATTCCCAAGGGCAGCATAACTCTGTGAAGATTAGACTTTTTATCAACCTATGTCCACTGATTAAATTGGGGCAAGTGTAACCAGGAGACAGCATGGGAAATGGTTAAGTGCATGGGCTCTGGGGTCAGACTGGGTTCAATCCAGCTGCTGTTAACTTATTACCTGTGTCACCTCAGGCAGTTCCCAAATCCCTCTGTGCCTCAGTTGCCCCATCAGTAAAATGGAGATAATATTAGTACTAGCCTTATGAGATTATTGTGAAGGTTAAATGAGATACCTGACATGTTTAGCATAGGGCTTGGCACATATTGACTAACAATGATTATTTTTAGGCAAGTCAGTAGACCAAGTTCCTTGTGCAGCATAAAGGAAGGCGAATGGTAAATAACCAGATATGAAATTATTTCTCAAATAATTCCTTACTCTTTAAGTGTCTCATTTTTCACCCAGCTCAATCATCAAGCAAAAATGTTAAGGGAGTTGAGGAGGTCTGTGAAACCACTCACTCATTTAAGTGTGGTCTCATTTCTTTGGGGTTCTTGACAGGATGTTTGTTTTTCTCTAACCCTTAGGGTCACTGGGGTTGAAATGAAGAATGTTATTGGGGTAAGATGGCCAGTACCACTTTCTTGATAGCCAGATAGATGTGGGCAGTGTTCCTCTTGTTCATTTCTGGTTTATGTTTCTCTCTGTTCCAACATCTTCCCTTTTTCTCACTCCCACTTTGGTGAGAAACCTTTGTCAACACGAAGAAGAGGCAGTCAGGCACACCTCTATGCATTATTCCAACTTAGGATGTTTATGCAAGAAGAAAGCCAACCAGAGTGGTGGGGTTCCTGCATCCCTGGCAACCCCAGGGGCACACGTGATTCTGAGCAGCCGGGGGAGGGAGGGGGGCTCTCACCGGTTGCTCTCTCGGGGTTGTTGCACATGAAGCACTGCCACGCTCCTGCTGCTTCACTGAAGCCAAACACGTCGAAGAACCTCACTTCTTCCAGATGGAGCTGAACCTGGTCCAGATCCTGTTTCAGGAACACAAAGCACAAAGAACATGAGCGTGTCCGCCTGCCACGCAGCACTCTGAGGTTGGGCAAAGGGGAAGTGGACACAGGACCGCCAGGGCTCAGATTCAGGGCTTCTGACAAGGAGGGAGCGTGGAGTAAACCTCTCACGGCCCATCTTAGAAAAGAGCAGCCAGTTCAAACTCTTCCAAGAGAGTTCTTGCTCTTAAACACGGAGGCTGGCCAGCATGGGCCTTAGGACTGCTCTCTGAGGGAGTGCCAAGTCAGAGCCTGAAGTGGCCCAGAATTTTCATGCATCTAACCACAGCGCCAGAATTTCTAAAAAGCTGGGATATTCAAGTGGCAATGCTGTCGAAATGAATGCTTTTGGGGATTTGTCTTTTATTTACACTTTACATGGAATTGAGAATCAATTATCCATATCAAAAACTTATTTTTATTAGGTTGGCTTCACAGGGGGCTGATGGAAATGTGTAGGGGTGTTTAATCCCTTAGCCCTTGGCTCCAGTCCTGCTTTAGTTTCATACTTTATCTCAAAATTGGATGTAAACTCTGCATTTTCTAGTCCATAATATGGCTGCATTGGTTTTAATGGAAAATAATTCCCTAATCCGTAAATTAATTAACTTTCCCCCTCTAAATGGTTGAGTGGAAATGACACACTCAGAAGACCACCCTGTTTTATGTGCCCTGTGGCATCCTGCCAAAGTGTTCCTATTTAAGAGGCACAGGAGAGAGGTTCCATTACACCGTAAATGGATGGAAAACTATTAGCCTAACCAAATTAAACAGCTCCACTGTCCTCCCGAGGCTCTCCTATTATGTAAATGACTTGTAGCCTCTGCTATAGGGTGGCCAGAACTGCACTCTTACAAAGTTGCTTTCCTAAGAGAGATTTATTGTCTTTGCTGGCCTCGCACATGCCCAGTTGACTTATCTGTTTGTCGTCTATTGAGCTGTGATTGTATTTCCTTGCCTCTGGTTCGCACTCTCATCTTGTACCCATAGTAACAACTCTCAGCACGCCCAAGAGCCAGGGGATGGAGGCACTGTTAGCTCTGCTTATGGTAGATCTAAAATAGGGAAGACCCTGAAGCTCTCGGGTCTGCTTTTCTTGACACAGGAGAGAGGTATGCTGAACTCAGCTCCTTGAGAGCAGAAACACGTCTACTGTGTTCACAAGTTGTATCCCCAGCATCTAGTCCAACATCAAGAATGGATGAACATCACTGGTTTGCAGGCCCTGTGCAAAGTTTCTCAATGAACTATATGAACAGTATTATGAAAATTTAAAGGGGATTTGTTCTGTAGAACATTTACATTCACTGGGACAAAAACCCAATGAAGGCAGGGACTTTGTTTTATTGGCTACTATAATGTTAGCACTAAAGACATGCAAGCATTAAATAATTATTTGTGGGATAATGGAAAGCATAAACTGGGACTAGAAATGAATACCTCTCAGTACCCTTTATTAAGACATTTATGGTTTCTATTCTGGGATTGGACAAGTTGGAGGCTCACAATGCTGAATACAGCTTTTTGAGTTGCTAACCTTTAATATCATATTTTAGGTATTCCAATGGACACTGTTTATAAAGAAATGTTTTTTTGCATCCCTGGCAACCCCAGGGGCACACGTGATTCTGAGCAGCCGGGGGAGGGAGGGGGGCTCTCACCGGTTGCTCTCTCGGGGTTGTTGCACATGAAGCACTGCCACGCTCCTGCTGCTTCACTGAAGCCAAACACGTCGAAGAACCTCACTTCTTCCAGATGGAGCTGAACCTGGTCCAGATCCTGTTTCAGGAACACAAAGCACAAAGAACATGAGCGTGTCCGCCTGCCACGCAGCACTCTGAGGCTGGGCAAAGGGGAAGTGGACACAGGACCGCCAGGGCTCAGATTCAGGGCTTCTGACAAGGAGGGAGCGTGGAGTAAACCTCTCACGGCCCATCTTAGAAAAGAGCAGCCAGTTCAAACTCTTCCAAGAGAGTTCTTGCTCTTAAACACGGAGGCTGGCCAGCATGGGCCTTAGGACTGCTCTCTGAGGGAGTGCCAAGTCAGAGCCTGAAGTGGCCCAGAATTTTCATGCATCTAACCACAGCGCCAGAATTTCTAAAAAGCTGGGATATTCAAGTGGCAATGCTGTCGAAATGAATGCTTTTGGGGATTTGTCTTTTATTTACACTTTACATGGAATTGAGAATCAATTATCCATATCAAAAACTTATTTTTATTAGGTTGGCTTCACAGGGGGCTGATGGAAATGTGTAGGGGTGTTTAATCCCTTAGCCCTTGGCTCCAGTCCTGCTTTAGTTTCATACTTTATCTCAAAATTGGATGTAAACTCTGCATTTTCTAGTCCATAATATGGCTGCATTGGTTTTAATGGAAAATAATTCCCTAATCCGTAAATTAATTAACTTTCCCCCTCTAAATGGTTGAGTGGAAATGACACACTCAGAAGACCACCCTGTTTTATGTGCCCTGTGGCATCCTGCCAAAGTGTTCCTATTTAAGAGGCACAGGAGAGAGGTTCCATTACACCGTAAATGGATGGAAAACTATTAGCCTAACCAAATTAAACAGCTCCACTGTCCTCCCGAGGCTCTCCTATTATGTAAATGACTTGTGGCCTCTGCTATAGGGTGGCCAGAACTGCACTCTTACAAAGTTGCTTTCCTAAGAGAGATTTATTGTCTTTGCTGGCCTCGCACATGCCCAGTTGACTTATCTGTTTGTCGTCTATTGAGCTGTGATTGTATTTCCTTGCCTCTGGTTCGCACTCTCATCTTGTACCCATAGTAACAACTCTCAGCACGCCCAAGAGCCAGGGGATGGAGGCAGTGTTAGCTCTGCTTATGGTAGATCTAAAATAGGGAAGACCCTGAAGCTCTCGGGTCTGCTTTTCTTGACACAGGAGAGAGGTATGCTGAACTCAGCTCCTTGAGAGCAGAAACACGTCTACTGTGTTCACAAGTTGTATCCCCAGCATCTAGTCCAACATCAAGAATGGATGAACATCACTGGTTTGCAGGCCCTGTGCAAAGTTTCTCAATGAACTATATGAACAGTATTATGAAAATTTAAAGGGGATTTGTTCTGTAGAACATTTACATTCACTGGGACAAAAACCCAATGAAGGCAGGGACTTTGTTTTATTGGCTACTATAATGTTAGCACTAAAGACATGCAAGCATTAAATAATTATTTGTGGGATAATGGAAAGCATAAACTGGGACTAGAAATGAATACCTCTCAGTACCCTTTATTAAGACATTTATGGTTTCTATTCTGGGATTGGACAAGTTGGAGGCTCACAATGCTGAATACAGCTTTTTGAGTTGCTAACCTTTAATATCATATTTTAGGTATTCCAATGGACACTGTTTATAAAGAAATGTTTTTTAAAAATGATTTTGAATGTGTTCAATAGAAAAAAAGGAGGTTTTTAAAAAAGCATATTTCCAAGATAAAGACTGAAGAAGCACCTGGGAGTCTTATAGGTTTCAAAGGATGAAATCCATATTAAAATTTATGGGGCAAAAGCAGATGTTCATAAATACCAGTTTCAAAACTGCTAAGTCTCTGAAGTCTATACTTGGCCATCGGTATGCATATCGTTTCTCTCTTTCCCACACAATTAAGGATCAATTTTTCATTCACCACAAGCACTGCTAGCAAACAAAGTAGTTAAAATAATACTTCAGAGTTCCTTTATTTTTCCTGTTGTGAGACCAGAAATATCCCAGGTTGTTGCTCATAATTCACATTTGTGTTGGCAAAAAGTTACTTTCAAAGTTTAAGACAGATGGCAAGTAGCATCCCAGTGTTCAAGTTCTTGAGTCAAAAGCAGATTTACTTCAGAGGATTTAAGTGTTGTGCAAAGGGGACTGAGTGAGGAAGGTAGATGGTAATTCTTTGAACTCCTGAAGTTGGTAGTGACAGTCAACTTTGAATAGACAGACAAACCAAACAGAGGTAATTCCAAATATTGGTGGAAAATCAAAGCAAAATAAATCACAAAACAAGCAAACACAAGCCATTCAACTAACAATACCTAAATTTTTGGAATTTTGATTTCTTAAGTGTGCTCGAGGTCATTATTTCTCTCTCCTACTTATTTTCTTTACCCTGCTGTGTCCTATAGCTTCCCCAGGCCTTGCCCAGGATTTATGATGTACTAAGTGGGCTTCCCTGGTAGTTCAGACCCTAAAGAATCCACCGGCAATATGGAAGACCTAGGTTCAATCCCTGGGTTGGGAAGATCCCCCTGGAGGAGGGCATGGCAACCCATTCCAGTATTTTTGCCTGGAGAATCTCATGGACAGAGGAGCCTGGTGGGCTACAGTCCATGGGGTCACAAAGAATCAGACAAGACTGAGTGGCTAAGCCCAGTACAACAAGATGCTTCAGTTGTGTCTGACCAGCTGTTTGAGACCCTGTGGACTATAGCCTGCCAGGCTGCTCTGTCCATGGGATTCTCCAGGCAAGAATACAGGAGTGGGCTGCCATTTCCTTTTCCAGGGGATCTTCCCAACTGAGGGATTGAACCCACATCTCTTATGTCTCCTGCATTGGTAGGCGAGTTCTTTACCACTGGCGCCACCTGGGAAGCCCAGGATTTGCTATATGGCTTCTTTGTCTTTTTTAAAGACAAGAGAACCAAAATTGATGTGTTTAAAGAATTGCAACCTTCATTTGAGATAACTAGCCTCTAGAAGAGTAACAAAAACCATTTATATCTAGGTAGGGTCACTCCTTGAAAATTTCTGTTCAATGGCATTGTAGTGGACAGACCCTAGGGTGACCTTTTAATAATTCCCATCTCCTGGTGTTTATCTCTTTGTATAACCCCTTTCTCTTAAGTGTGGGAAAGACCTATAACTTGTTTTTAACCAAGGCTATGGCAATGGTGATAGGATATTAATCTCGTGATTATATTATTATGTATCCCTGCTCGCCCTCTCCCCCAAAACACATACACACACAAAAAACCAATCTTGCCAGTGAATGCAGAGAGAAACTCCCCTGCTGGCCTTGAAGAAGAAAGCTGCCATGTTGTGAACTGCCCATGGAGAGGGCCCTGTGGATGGGAACTGTGGGTGGCTGCTAGGACCCAGTGGCGGTCTTCAGCCAACAGCCAGAAACAAAGCCACTCCTTCAGTCCTACGACCCTCCACCAAATTTCTCCCAGCACCCTGAGCAAGCCTGAAAGCGGACACTTTCCATTCGATGAGAAACACAGCTCTCCAAATGAGAACACAGGCCGGCCAATACCTTGATTGTAGCCTTTGAGACCGTGAGTGCAGGACCCAGCGACGTCACAAGCAGACTCCTGACTCAAACTGTGAGATAGCAAATATATGTTGTTTTAAACTGTTAGGTTTGTGGTAATTTCTTATGCAGTCTTAGGCATCAATACCTAGACTGCATTGTGAAGAAGAGGAGAAGATGACAGTCTTGGTCAATTTTCAATGAAAATGATGCTTCTACTTAGAGGGGTCACATTCTTTCAAGTACACGCCAGATCAGTCCTCAATAAAACTCAAAAAATATTGAAGTCTGTATTATTTCTGTTGACTTAAATAAAAAGATACATAATCATAGTAAACATGCACTGAGAAGGATTTTCCTGAAAATCACTGTCTAATTCAAGAGGGATAAAAGCCCATGGAGGGAAAAATGATGTTTCTGAACAGCTGATTAAGTGAATATTTCTCCAGGTTTAGGGGAAAAAAAAAACCCTTAATGGGAGTAGGAATTTGGAAAACTATATAAAAAGTCTTTTGTGAAGCTCCCTAGAGGAAAACTACACTGGCCAGTTTGAAAAGATGAGTGGATATTCACAACATTGTTTTGATGACAGTGACAGCCGGAGTTAATGCTATGGATTCTGTAAAAGTGCAAAGTGGCCTCTCCACCTTATAATGTGGTCTGTGTACTGTGAGAGGGTATTGGGAAACAATTTTCCAGAAATCAGTGAAAGCATACATCTGGAAGAACTCTGGGTTCTGGCACATTTAAATTCTGTTCTAACAGTATTTTTGCACAGATACGAAACATAGGATTGCCTCATGTGCTGTATGTGCTTATGGTTAATAGATCAACTCTTGGCACATACTTTAAGCATGTTTTAAGAAATGTAAAGAGCTATTTTGAAAACAATCTTCAATATTTTCACATAACAGTAATGGTGTATGTCTTTATGGTTATTTCTATTGTACATGTTCTAACTATACGGAGTTCAGGGTGTGAAATAAACTTATTGAAGGAAGAAAACTAATGATTCCCCTCTATATTGTTCATCTTTATATTACTTATGTTGTCCTACATTCTGCAGGCAAACTGTCTTGTAAGAAACATTGTATGTTGAATGAAGAAACTAGCAAAAAAGACACTAAAGAATATTTATGCTCTTTTAAAATTTATTTCAATTTCTGAGAAACATCTCTGTTGAATTCAAGTCACACCCCTAAGTATTAAGAGCACCTGTTGTCAGGAACCAAGGATACATAGAGGTAAGAGACACAGCCTTGTATGCTAAGGACATAAGGTAATCCATTGGGTTTACAGTATTTCTCACAGAGGGAAACTGGAATGCACCTTTATTTGTGTTTGGATGAAGTTATTATTAATCTTCTGATGTGACTTTTTTGGCTCTCAACTGGATTAAAGCTCCTTAACAAGAAGACTGATTTCTACATTGTTTTGTAGCTTCTGAAATTAATTAGTATACCACTTTGCCTATAGGAGCTATTCAATGAATTTTTCTAGATTTTTGTTAATTAAGACAC